TTTTTTTTTTTTTTTTTTTTTTTTTTTTTTTTTTTTTTTTTTTTTTTTTCAATTGAAAACGCGTCGTACGCATGAACTTTCAAGTTGATTGTACCCTCCACCAAAACGAAAGCTCTGCAACGTTTCGATACTCAAAGAGCAGGTGATAACAACTGCGCGCGAATGGAGTTTCATCCAGAGATTGTATCCCTCATGGTAAATAAACACTCCTCCTGCAAGCGATTCAACCTTGTAAGGGGTCCTGGAGCAATCTATGCACGCGAGGGAAAAAAAAAAAAAAATAGGCACAACCTCTTTCGTATACAGTCCATTCGCGTAAGGGTAAATCCATTACCTTTCGCGGGCTTCGGGACCCTACGCGCGCAACACGCCGTGAAATCCCTTTAAAATTTTCATAGGAAATAAACGCAAAAAGGACATAGCTGCTGTCTACCACGGGCATGTGGGAAAGGAGAGAAAGGATCGGGAAAGAGAGGCGCGCGCGTTCATATATATATATGTAGACTGAATAGAAATCCGGCTCCCATACAATTCTGCCATTATTCTTCGATTTCGAGTCCGTAGAGAGAGTGAGAGGGGGGTGTGGGGGCAGGGACAGGCGACAATGGCATGTGCCCCTCTTTTCTCTCCGATCGCTGAATTCAGCGAAAATCCGTCTGAGCTTTCGCTTGATTGCTCCGCATCTTTCACGAGCGCGCACGTGTGTGCCTTACCTCCTCCGCGGCTGTGAAATCGCTCTCGCGGCGGAGCTCCATTGTCGTCGGGGCTTTGCGCGAAATTTTAATTGAAATCGGCCTCGAGTGCCGCACAGCCGAGAGCCTGCCCGTGTACACCGATGCCGGGGCTCTTGAGAAGTGCTGCTAGAGGAATTGCTTGCGGGGCGACGCGTTTCGCGAATTTTAGCACCACCGCGGTTATGCTCGATTACTCGAGAGGAAACGGAGGGAGGGTTTATAGTGGTGGTACGTGACGTGTTGCCCGGAGATTCCTCTCTCTCTCTCTCCTCGCGTCGCCTTGTTTTTCTTTTTTCTTTTCTTTTTTTTTTTTTTTCATTTCTCCCTCGCTCCCTCCCCAACAGGTTTGCGCCGCGTGGCGTGCGTTGGAGTGCGCTTGAGAGCCGAGGCTCGTGCTCGAGATCGAGTGTGTGCGAGTGTGTTTGGCTTCTTGAGCGGTGTTTCGACTCTGCATGCGCCGGGAATGGCGGTATTGCTGCTTCTGTTGTTATCGCACGGCGAGTATGATTAAATTAGAAATTACTTTTCTACGAAAACCCAGAGAAAAAAAAACGTTCTCTCAGTTGACGGTATGCAACTAGTTTTTCACTTTTCAG